TGCGTTTGTGGCCTTCTTGTAGAACCGCCTGCGTTGTTTCATAATCGAGGCATACGTCTCATTCAAAACATGCCAAGTTGGTAGCTCTAGATGTTCGTCCAATGAAATTATAGAAGAAATTGACCCACTTAGACATAAGGAGCTCGAAAGGATAGTCAGGAAACAAGACTTCCATTTTTCTATACAAAATATTTCAAATGAGCTTGATTTTGTATGAAATGATACTACCTGATAAAAAATAAGCTTGTTTGATAGTTTTGAATACCATTGTGCAGGTACAAAGAACAATTTGAGTGTAAGACATTCGGAAATTGACCTAAATTATCCCCTTTCGAACCTCAGGTCATTCATAACAACAAGAGCGTCCAGAAAGGTTATTATTCGAATGGGCGTAACTACTCGTAATGTCTTATCAGCTTGTGAGAGGGGGTTATTCATGATGTGTTTGTAACACTTTATAAATAGAAAGCTATGAAGGATAGAGCGTTATTTTCATCATCCGAAGTGACTATTCGGACTCGAGTCCGAATATGAAAAAATGTTATTCGGACTCTGATTCTTGTCCAGCACGACATCACTTCCGACTTCCGACTTCCTGCGACTTGTGACTCCGGCTTCCTGTCCTGCCTCACTCATGACTCGGCTCAGGCTGGGTAGAGACCGGGATCACTTCGGGCAAAATGGCGTTTTGTGCAGGAGCCGAGTTTTTATCTTATGATGAATTTGAGGCCGGCCTGAAAAGTTATGGCGCTTCTAATACATGTTTATTTGTCAAGAGGTCATCAGAAGCAATTAAAGATGGCTCGTTAGCGTGTGTCGGGGTCGGATGGGCGGCCTGCACACGTGTGGCTGTGTGCATGTCGGGGAGGGGGATGGGGGGGCACTATCGGTCCGGGCGTTGAACGTCGCTTATGCGTCAGTCTTTTTTCCCCCGGCAACTGATCATTATTACAATAAAAAGCTAATCTTGACGTAGATCTACGTAATGAATTGGGCGCTGGTTTATGGAATCAAAAGTCGCCGTATGCTCAGCTCTACACAGCAACACAACTTTTTCTTGGTAAACAGTCGGGATGACACAGGCTTGTATATTTGAACGAATCGGTCTTTTTTTTTTTTACACAGCTCATAATATGCAGGTGCCAGGTGGTCTGCTAATCTTCAATTTTACCTTTTTCTACAACAAAGAAAGTGGAAAACGTGGGGGGTGGGGGGGGGGGCCTTATCAATGAGGCGGCGGGCATCGGATCGGCAGAAAAGGTGTGGGGGAAACTAAAAAATGGCGGAAAATGGGAAGCACTGAACGTTAGATCTATAGAACGAAGACACTTCCTTTTTTTTCCGGACCCGAGTCCGAATAACATTTTTTCATATTCGGACTCGAGTCCGAATAACGACGGCCTTCATCATCGGTTAACATACTCCCGCGGTATTCATGGCGAAAACACACGTTTCCCGGCGCGCGCGCTGTACACCAACAGTACACACTGAGTGACCCCGGCGGCCTGCCCGGCACGTCCGACGTAATCGATTGCTGATAAGATACGCATCTGGGCACAGACACAGGATAAGAGTTAAGTACGGCTAGACTGCCAGTCTAGCCGTAATTAGATCTAGGTTTGTCCCTATAGACTCAAACCTGTTAAGTACTCAGGTCTCATTAGATCTAGATCTAGTGACTATTCAGGTTCAAATACATGCTAGTCAGTAAGGCACCTTTTGGTTTTGTCTGAAATACAAATACTTTAGGCATTGCAAACTAAAAATTTCATTTACAATTCAGCCATCAATATTAAGTACGGCTAGTCTGACAGTCTAGCCGTCCTTAAGTACGGGTAGCCTAGCTGTCTACCCGTACTTAAGTGTACGGCTAGGCAAGAAGTCTAGCCGTACTTAAGTACGGCTAGACTGCCGGTCTAGCCGTACTTATCTTAGGCCCTATTAACATTAGAAAACAGGAGGTTTAAAATACATGCACTGTCATTAAGGCACCTGGTTTCGTCTCAAATATATAATACTTTAGGTACTGCAAACTAAAAATTTATTTTTACAATTCAGTAAGCTTGAGTAGGCCTATTTTAAAAAATGGTCAGTCAACTCTAGCCATCAAGAATAAGTTCGGCTAGCCCAGCTGTCTAGCCGTACTTAAGTGTATGGCTAGCCTCTTCCTTTGAATATTCCTACACCTACTTCAGTTGTGATTGGAGCACACTTCATTTAAAATACCTTCAAAAGGTACTGCGAGAGAACAGGACTGCTCGACCTTTGCAGTAACCTATTTTACATTTAGTCATCCCTAAAGTAAAGCAAAAACTAAAAATCTTCATCATGTAAACAAAACAAAAAATCTTTCCCCCCCCCCCCCCCCCCCCCCCCCACACACACACACACTCACTCACTGACACGTACACACGCGCGGGTGGGGGCCACTCCATTGGCAAATTATCCTTAAATCTCGAGAACGGAAACCTTTTGGAGAAATAAAGTTCAAGTTTATTTTCCTGAGCGTTCGGAGAAATAGAGCCGTCCTTAAAAAATTGGGGCAGGTGGTGTGGTGTTTGTATAAGATTACTGAGGTAATCGTCGGTGGGGTCAAAACTAGTAGACTATCCCTGAATGAGACCCACTTTCTTAAGTAGTACCGAATTATTGTACGTAACTGTTGTTTAGAAGACTTTTAATAAAATGCTCCCACTCCGTGTAAAATTCCCTCCCACTTCACTGCATTAAAGAGAGGCACCTGTGGTGATCTATTTAAAACTGTTTTAAAGACACATTTATTAAAATTTATTTATAATTCAACCAGCTAGATCTAGATCTATATTCTAGATCTAGCTTGATTCTTCTCACGGAAGGACTTCCGTAACGGGCGACCACCCCAAAAAAGCCATTTTAAAGAAGCTTTTCTTTACTTCTACAGTCAAACCAAAACGCCCACCCATTGTTGAGGAGAAAAGTGGCCGTCTTAGGCAGGACTGATCCAAGTGAAGAAAGTAATTTTTTAGAGAAAATCATTCTCTTCTGAGGTCCAAGCTGGGGCTGATCTCAGACTTTAGACTGCTGTAAGGCTAATTCATAAGGGTTTTTATTCTCTTCAGAAAAAGAGGGATGGGGTAAGAAGTTTTTTTGGGGGGAGTACTTCCGTAACAAGCGACCACTATGAGACAGAGTAGAACAGAGAGGTTAGGGGATAGGGATGGGTAGGGTTAGGGTTTGGGGTAAGGTTTAGGGTTTGGTCTCTTCTTATTTATTGTGTTTGTTGGGGTGGTCGGTCGTTACAGAAGTCCTTTCCTTTTTGTGTTGTTTTGTCTGTCGCAAGTTCACGTCAACGTACATTGTTACTTTGTTACAGGTAAACAAAACAGTGACCAGTCACCTCGCACACGATTTGTGCATCATGAGTTGTGGGCAGGGCTAATAGGTTTGGTATCACCAGCAGTTGAAAATTTATATTGTTACCCATTGGTCAACTTGGGTAAACCTTCACTGGAGGGACTAACAATAACGACAGGTGAATGAATTATGATGGCCTGTCCGTGAGGGGCGATTCAAAATTCATGACAAAGGGTTGGGCAATGAGTGACCACTCCTGGTAAATTTTACTGTGGGTTGATAAATTAAGGTGGCCGCGACTGCGTTGGACAGGTGACTGTTTAACACAGTTAAGTTATACAAAAAAAATGCAAGGGGCGACATCGAAAGTGGCCGTTTGTACAACTGGGCGTCATGGCAGGTGTGACTGTATTTCTTAGTAGTCACTGGTTACGGAATTCCTAGTATGATCAGCAGCCACTGTGATAATTTAATACC